CCCATCGATGCTTGAACATCCAGTCATCGGGAAATTTTGACGAATCTGCCAACAAGTCTACTGCTGTTTGACAAATGGACATCATCGAAGTGTGCAATCGCTTGATCTCTTCGGAGCTAAACGTATTACTATATTGTTCAGGATGAAGTCGTGCATTGTATAGTATTTCATCGCTTCGAGTGATGTTAGCATGATTGGACATCGAGGGTGAATTTGGTAACCGGGAGTGAAATAATAATGGCAGGCTGGATAGTTCGGAGTCGAACAATTAGATTGGGGTAAATGTGAGATTCACTGACCCGACCCAGTTTCCAATTCCACTGATATTCGCCTGGTCAAGTAATAATGCCTTTATTGGCACCTGCTTCTTGTTCAATTTTTGTTCGAGCCACTCAACTGTCAAGATGTCTTTATCAATGACAGGATCTGGACCGTTCTCTTTAAGTGGAGACGTGTCTCGAATGGCCTCAGCGACACAATTTACCAGTCGAATCCTTGAAAATCTACGTGAATCTGTGAATGCAGCCTCAACCTTTGGTTCTCCGGCTGTTTGGAGTGAAAATTTCGAGAACTTCGGTGGCCAGGCTTCCTTTTCATCCTCATTTTTCGATCTATAATAGTAAGAGCCTTGCCCTCGAATATGAAACCATCCTGAATTGTTCAGCACTTGTCAAGAGATAACTTTGGCTATTTCCATACCCGTCATGCCAAAGTGGAACACTGGATGTGGTGGCGAGGACATGATCATCCTGTCACAACAATTTAGCATCGATTCTTGAAGCAGCAAGAATGACCCAACCAGAAGTATTTTCCTTGCTGTCCAGCACTCTCAACCTTCTTACCAGTCAATGCCTTCTGGAATTCGGCGGCACTTGTTCCGACCTTTCCAAAGACATTGGCATCATCTTGAGCGTTGACGACCGCCAATGTTTTGCCGACAAGACTTTTTCGAATATAGTGCACAGCTCGCGCAACTGCAAGGTCAAGTCAGTATTTCATAGTAGCTCGTGATGGAGATGAGTTGGTGGGCTTACCCTCCGCGATTTCGGGCATCTCGGAATGTGCTTTAATTGTACTAAAAGGGGTAACCTTAGAGAGGGTAGAAGAAAAGATGAAGTCGGATGTAATTCAAATTTTCGGCATCACAAGAAAAACGTGAAAATAGGTAGGTAGTTATCAGTAAATAATAGTTCGCCAGCTAGGTAGGTACCTTTGATAATAACTCTAGTGTTAATAAAGTTTCACAAAACGTGACTCGCCTTCCACTAGCCATGAGCCATGCTCCATGATGTTTGCATGAGTGCCTTAAAAATAGACTTCAGCTTATTAAGTCATCGGGCCAAGGATTCCCCATACTACCGAGGCATCGAGATAGCCATATCCCTTTCACAAGCCATCTATCTCATCATCTCATGCCTTCAAACGCCCTTTTTGTTTCCAACCTTATAATCTAACATCTCTGTTCATAGTTTCTCAATACGTTCCTTCGATTTCCTAATCCCACAACTCACATTATCAAGATGGTTGCCGACACTCTAGTTTACCACCCATCCGTTGCACATTACCTCAAATTTGTCGCAACAACCGTTGGTCGCGATAAGCTCCTTCGAACCCTTCAATACTTTTCCAGATTTTACGCCTGGTATCTCCTTCGCACCAATGGAACTCCTAGTGAAATTGCACCTTACGAGGCCATCAAAAAACAGTTCGGACTCGCGCGCAAATTAATGCGCTTTGGCAAGAATGTCGAACATTTGAAAGCAGCCGCCATCGCTGCGGATTCTAAAAGTCTTGATCCGGTAATCAAGTACTGCGCTGTTGGAAGGCAATTAGGATATGCAGGTTATTTAACTTTTGATGCGTTCACGGTGTTGGATGCTGCAGGTATTAGGAAGAGCCCTTCGACGAAGAGGATACAGAAGGAGGCCTATAGGTTCTGGTTGATGGGACTGCTGTTTAGCACGGCGTCGGGAATGTACTCTTTGTATAACCTACGACAACAATCTGCAAAAATTGATAAGAAAGATGGAGAAAGTGTTGTGACGAGTAAGAGGATCGAAAAGTAGGTTGAGCCTCGCAGATATTCGTACCAGGCTTGTTGCTAATCTCTCGGTATAGGGAGCGTGCTGCGATCAATATGCAACTCTTATCAGATCTCTGCGATCTCACAGTTCCAAGTTCGGCAATCGGCTTGGCTAACTTCGATGATGGTATTGTTGGATTGGCTGGCACTTTGAGCAGTTTGATCGGTGTTTATGGTCAATGGAAGAAGACTGCCTGAATAATTTGCCAATCAGGTGTTTTAAAATCTGGAGAGCATATGAACAATCGCAAGACTTGACAAGCAGCTCCCTTCCGGACTATCAGATTGGTCACGGATGATAAGATTGTATGTACGAGATTGGATCATTGTCATTGCAACCTTGTAGGTTTAAGTAGTCTGGAATTTATCTCATGGAATAAAAGATCACGATGAGGGACCAGAGTTCACCGGAGTTCATAACCGAGACTTGTATAAGATGGTTAGAAAGCCCTTACCCGATTGCACCTAACACATTTTCTTTCGGAATCTCCATCACAAAGCTGCTCGATTACGTTTTGTTTAATTACGGACGCTCCGTCCAAATATTTTGTTGACAGAAACTGAATGTTGAACGGCGGTATCTCTCTAGGCAGTATGCTTCCTACTAGCCTTTATACTATAAGCTTTTAATATAGCAATATCTTTTTTGAGAAAACCTTCGTCTTGTCGGACTTCCCGTCTCCCCGTGAAACCAATCAAACCACACCTAACGGACGAGTGGCTGGCTGCGTTTCCAATCGACTTCGGCAGCTATGATGTTATTCATCCGCCGTGTGCTTTGAGCATTTTCGGTCAACAGATGCTATCCAAAGGCTGTTGGACCGACCGATTTTATTTAGTGTTGTATATATCTCACGGTATTTGGGCCGCCGAGGTATTCTCTCACCCCGGCATAACTCGAAAGGCACATGCTAATACGGGCAGTAAACATAATTCTTGGCACCTTGAAACGCTCCTATTGGCTACAACAGTGTAGCACCAACTTGTACCCCGGATCAATCACAATGTGACTGAAATTGCTTTCTCTTGGACAATACACCGAGCCTCCTCTGTTCGTTTCTATCTCAGCATCCCTTGAAAGCAACCTTTCCGACCTCAAATAATGTCTAAATTCGACATCATCCTTGAAGATTTGAGCCATCTGGACATTCAATACCAGAAAGTTCACTGAGTACTCAGTTTACGACACAGCGGAAAGCCTAGCTCAAGTCAAAGCATTTTGAATATCGATGAAAGTTGTCCCTTGAGAGCGTGCAACCAAAGTTAGCAAGTCAACATTCTCCAACATCAAGACCGGGCCTATGCCGTATCGCCTTCTCATGTCGGCCCGACATTCATTTGAAGACGCCTCATTCCTACATACCGAGTACGATAGCCACTCTAGCGCGAATCTTTCCATGGGTAAAGCTTATTTGATACCTATCCGTACATCGACGGTGAAAGGAGTGCAAGGCACTTGAGTGTGAAACTGCTAGCGTTGTTGGTACTATATTTCGGAAATTCTTCAATATTGCAGCCCGATAACCTCTCGAGATATGCCGAATTCCGCTTCTTGTGGGGTATCATAGCCGGGGACTTAGATTCCAGACCCACAGAGTAACATTAACCGTGCATGATACCAGCAATCAACAGCCAACGACCAACCAACAAGCAAAGTACACGGGTCCGTACCACTATTGGATGAAGCATATCATATGAACGCTTGGCAACCTGATAAGAACCGTCTCTTCTAGGAAGTTCCAATTTAGCTAGGGCAAGCCCATCTGGAAACCAGCGGGAGCGACGGGTGGTAATACTTCCCCGCTGCATGGAACTTCCACTGAAGAAAGAGCGTCCACTAAAATAGTTAGTGAGCAAGAATACAACTTTTTAGCTGCGCCTTCTTGGTGCTGCAATGACGCTATGGTGTCTCATGCGGAGGACAATCTCTGAGCAAAATCATGTAGCTAAGATGGTGTCATTCACTTATCTTGCATCTAGAGCAATCTACTCGTACATGAATGGGAGTCTTGTTTCCAACTCGACTCCCACTGGGTTGCATCGTACCATGCAATATGGAAAGCCAATCAAATGCCAACAAAGCTTTGGCGGCAAGGTTCTCCGATATTAGATGACGGAATTTATCCCACTGCAGATTGCCCTGCTTGCGAAGATCTAGTTGCCAAACTTGCTAGAATGCTTGGTGAACCACTCTACCGGTATTCTATTTCAAAATCTACTGGACTGAAGCCTTGCCTTTAGCATTGTCCACTCGGTATTTGGTGTCATTCGTACACGGGCCGAGCGATCACCTGGTTTGACCACGGAATTTGTTCCTGCAGTTGGGCGTGACCTGGCAAAGGGTTCGACGGGATCAGTGATGAAAAGTTTAAAAAATTGGCTGTCTTTAAGTTACATCGCGATCTTTTTTCGGCTAGAGCCGCATCTCCTGGACGTATGGAGATTGGTACCCCGACTTCGAGAGCTAGTTTACTGAATGGAAATCGACACACTGCAGCAGAAGGTAGATTCAAGGCAAAGAAGCTGATTGCTTGCGTCCCTTGGATATTTACCGGAATTCACTTACGACTCACAACCGTCATCAAACTGACACGGGAGATAACGACTCGAATCATGCACCTGTCTGGTTACCAGATTTAGAAATCGAAGCTTGCGTAACCATCATGTTGGTGTATATGGCCGGAAAGTGTTGCCCCAGAAGAGAAGGTGCGATGCACCTCGTACCAAGGTATAGCGCACCAAGCGGTAGACCTCTCTTCCAACATACATCTACACCTTCATATATTCACTCATTCTTGCGCCGCCTATTTAGAAAGCATTGAGTTAAAATTTCTCTTGCTTGAGGTTGTCAATTTCACACTGCAACTCTAAGAACATAAATCGTGCTCTCTGACTATTTCACATTTTCCTTCACCCAATGGCGCATCCATTTTCTAATCTCTGTTTGAGGAAATTCTTCGGCTCTGATGCAGATGAACCCAAAGTTCAACCGGCTGTTGCAGATCTTGAGATTCCGCTTTCAAATGCAAGCACTCGAGATTTGGAGGAAGGAATCAATGACCCAGACAACACGGATGGAAACGTTCCCAGAGCAGATGGAGGTAAAGATGCTTGGCTGTTCTTAGCTGCATGCTTTTTATTCGAAGCATTAATCTGGGGTAAGTGATCCTTCCTGTGCAGGTCCGCCTCATCGCGTCAATCTTCTGAACAGCACTGAAAATCATCATATTTATCGAAATTTCAAAACTACGATTGCTTTAATAGAAACATATCAAAAGGAAATTGAGAACTTCATTTCAACTGACACATCAACAGGATTTCCGTTCGCTTTTGGAGTTTTCCAGACGTACTACTCTACTCACCCGCCCTTCGATAAACATGCAAACGATATAGCTATTACAGGAACTTGTGCTACTGGAATCAGTATGTGCAAAATTTTATCTTATTTAGATGCTTCTATGAAACTATTTCACTCCCTTCTCTGTTCCGTTCCTTAATAAGTACTTACAAGGTATCATTAGTGTATCTTTTTGCACCCATTTCCCTCTACGTTCTGGAGACGTTCCCGCCAACTCGCAGGCTATCTTCAATATTGGGACTTGTTATTGTAGTGATAGCCCTAGTTGCAGCTAGTTTCGCTACAGAAGTTTGGCACCTCATTGCTACTCAAGGATTTCTATATGCTATTGGGGGCAGCCTTTTGTACTCTCCAACAATGTTCTATCTCGATCAATGGTTCGGTAAGTAATTATTATTTTCTCAGTTATGGTCCAAACTTTTTTGCTTGTCCCAATGCATTGCCATTTTCAACTATGGTTGGACAATTCGCATCGTTATAATGTCTAATTCTGTTTGGGTTTCCCATATTTCCTTAATTTTACTACCGCGTTGCTACCTCATTTTACTTTAGCAGTAATTTCTACTTACATTTCACTGACCGTGTGATAGTCAAGCGAAAGGGTCTCGCACTTGGTGTTATGTGGTCAGGGTAAGCATGGAATATCAGTAGCCCAAAGCTCGAGCTAACTTTGGCAGTGTGGGAACTTCAGGTCTCATCTTCCCATTTCTCCTGTCATATCTTGTCGATCGATGCGGATTCCGCGGTACTCTTCGGATTTGGGCTGCTATCTTGTTCCTACTTTGTTGCCCATTGATCTATTATATCAAACCCAGGATTCCAACGAAGTTCTCTAGCCAACAACCATCAAAACCAAGCTACACATTCCTTAGGTCACCCATATTCTGGTTTCTGCAGATAGCAAATGTCTTGTCCTCACTTGGGTTCTTCGCACCTTCCATTTATCTTTCGTCGTATAGCGCTTCGCTTTCATTCTCTCCCGTGCTTGGAACTTCACTCATCGCACTCCTGAATTTCTTTTCCGTGATCGGAGCCATTTCACTAGGCCATCTTTCGGATGTCAGGCATATAACCACCGTCGTACTTCTCTCATCTACTCTATCTACTCTATCTGTATTTATGCTATGGGGCATTTCAACCTCCCTTCCATCTCTAATTATATTTACCATTATCTATGGAACTTTTGCAGGAGGGTGGAGTGCTATCTGGGCAGGAATGATACGAGAGGTCCAACGCGCAGATAGCAGCGCTGGTTTTGGTGTATTGATGGGTCTTTTTAGCGCAGGAAGAGGAGTGGGAAGCGTAGCATGTGGACCAGTTACTGAATGGCTCGTTCAGTATGGAGGGCTTGGGAGTTTGGGAGGCGGTTATGGCACTGATTATGGAGCGGTGATAGTATTCACCGGAGTAAGTGCTGCCTGCGGATTGATAGGGGTAGCTGCAAGGTTTTGGAAAGTGGAAAGAGCTTGAGAGACACACGATGCACGAAACAAATTGATAGCTATCAGAGCTACTAAATAGCACACTTCGATGCTTCAGTCCATGTCTGTCAATCAAATAATTCCTCAAATACATCTGACGATTTTGAACAGATTGTGTTCTGGTGTAAGAGTCTGTCACATGATTGGGTGTGAGAAGTTTAGAATTGTGTCACGAGTCGACAAGTGAAGCGCAATTTTATAGGCTACAGGGAGCCTTGATTGCTAAACGGATTTCTGAAATTAGATAAAAGACACGAACCTATCTTTTTGGTTTATTGAAACGAAAAATAAAAGGCGGTCTTTCTTCAAACATCCACCAGTGGGTCTACGCAAGTGGGTGTACGGACTGACGGATACTGCAAAAATGGACTTGTGAATATCTCTTGATGTTTCAAATCGTTTATTCTAGGAATTGTTACAATTGACGATTAGAGATAAAACAATCAAAGTGTGAAATCTGATATCAAACAATTAGAAAATGAATTTGCTGAAAATATTGGAAGTTGGGAAGTGTCCTGTTAATCCATACCCCCACTGGCGATCTAGAATATTTCGTTTAGTAAAACCCCCACGTATTCCCCGTGAATGAAATTCTGTCACGAACATTGGGATATCCTCGTTGAGACAATGAATCTTCTCGTTTACAAAGATCTTCATTTTCAATCTACTCCTTGTAGTAGCGAAGGATTACTCGGGCAGACTGCATGTAAGAATGGCGAAATTGAAGTTGCTATACTCGGTTAGGCAAGTGATACCTTCCTACTCAGGAAACCCCGCACGAGGGTAGAAGGGGGGGCACCCAGGTATCTTGCACTATACTATAGGGAGATATGGAGATATGAAGATTTGAAGTGGATTCCCTGACCTCTTTGCATCTTTAAATAACTTTTACGCGATCAACAATCATGTCTCTGACGCAAGCAAGCAAAGTATCATTTCCATACACCTTCAACCAACTTCTCGAGACAGCCAAAAAGCCACCTATTCTGTATGGAAAACGATCTTCAACAACGTGCGGATATGTTTTCATAACCTTTCCGTCCCGTGTTTGACGAATCCTGAATGGTACACCGTGTAGGTACTGGAAGTTTGTTCCCCCGGTTAACGTACCATTGTACTACATAAATGTATGCTATCCTTGGAGCCTGATCACAATGAAGGATTTTCTTTTTCGAATGTTACAGCGCAGCTTCAATACAACCTTTTTCATCCTTCGCTCTTATTTAACTATACCGAGTTTGATACCCAATTCAATATCCTTTTTTTCATTGAGTTCTAAAATTATACAACATTTTCTACATGGAAAATAATTAGCGATTGTAAAGTTGCCAGATTTTTATAACACGTTGTTCTTCAATTGTGAAAGATCTTCAAGTGAAGAAGCCTAGATGACGTTGTGGATCTTCTTCATCGAAACACTTTTCTCCAACGAACAAACACTTACATCTAATCAAGATATCTATTTATCTTTCTTACATTTTTTTCAATAACATGCAGTACAATCTGACCACATTAGCGGCGGGAAGAGGCGCAGTTGCCTCGGTCCAACGAATGAAGATTCTCTAAATTGACGAGGTTGAGCGGCACAGCTGTCAGTATATGCAAGGGCCAACAGTATTCATGGAACAGTAATCGTAAGTAACCACTTACTGCCTTCTCGCTCGGCACAATTGTTTTTATTTCTCATTTGGTGTGGTAGTATCTGTGGTGGCGTGGTATCGTCTGTTCATTTTACACGAATAAATCTTTTCTTGCATGATATGCGAGTCTGTTTGCGGGGGTTCTAATAAGAATGATCATGTCCCTATACGTGAGGTTTTTATCTGATTTTACTTTTGGATTTTTTTGGACATCAAGTGTTCCTTTGGAAAATGCATATTTGTGGTTTTGAAGAAGATCTTACTTGAAGATGCAACGTCTGGTCTCTCTCCTCGTATTTTGCATTTTTCTGGGGTGCATCAAGGCAGATGTTGCTTTCACATGGCCCTATCCAGGAGCCACCTTGGGTTCGGGAGATGTCACTCTTTGGTGGAGGGAAGATGGAAATGCGCTTTTGATCGAGGAGATGGGTAGTCATTTGTTGGTCTTGTTTACCGGAAGTAATAATGTTATGGTATGTGGAAGTTTCCTGCCTCCAAAAGTATTTTGAGTGAGTTGCTGATGTTTGCATAGCAAATTCTAAATGAATGGGTCATTCCCGTTGGAACGTACAATGCAACTATACACCTCAACTCAAACATTGGACCCAATGCAAACAATTCCTAGTAAGCAATCACTTTTGCAGCATTTACAATCCCGTGCATCAGTTCGGATAGTTGGGCATACTGCTTTCGTGTCACTCGGGTCAGTTGATTTAACAAATATTAGTTTCTTCGGCATTCAATCAAACCCCATAAACACGACGGACTATCCATCAACCTCCATTCCAGTTCTCACAAACTTCTCACCTCGTTTCTCCCTCACGAACATGACGGGTAGAGATTTTAGCCCTTCTATCAGCGCTGCAAATGCCGCGTGCAATACCATGGATGGGCCGGATTCTGTAATTCGAGATGAATCGCAAGATCAAGTATCTCTGGGTATGGCTAATGTACGCTCTCTGTCATCCGCTCAGATCACAACTTCCGGGGTGATTCACAATCCAACTGATGGTGTACTCGTTACGACTATTCCTTTGACACCTGTCGTTTCAGCGACTACTTCGCCTTCGTCTCTCGTGACAACTATCTTCTTTACACCAACGCCCACTGCCTCTCCTCAGCCTGTTACAGAAACTCCGATACAGACTCCGACTCTCACAGCCAGTGCTCATAAGAGAATAGTGATCGCTGTTCCTGTCACTTTAGGTATAGCTGCTCTGGCTGGTCTCTTTCTCTTCTTCGTTGTTCGATATAGGCGTCGGCATCCATCGTCCGAAAAGGCTGATCCAGACGGATCTATTCTTCCATTTTTCCCACCACCGCCTACTCATCCCAATACATGGATGGATACCACGACTTCCACTGTCAAGAATAAATCCAATCGTTTCTGGTATCGTCTGAAAGCCAAACGCCCACGGAATAGTGTTGCTGAGTTGCCTGGGTATGAAGGCCCCGGTACATTAAAGTCTACCTCACAGCGTAACACCAGTCCAAGCGGAACGACAATAACAAACAAGAGCGAAATGGCTCACACGCCTATAATTATTCCTCCCACTGGAGCAAATGCAATCTCATCGACTAAAACCCGATATCAACCACAAAATTACCCAGGACGCGAAGTCGGCTTTTCGGCTGTAGGTCCGAATTCGGCAATCAATAACCACAACTCAGATCCCAAAACTCCTATTAGTGTGACCCACACACATCATTCCTATCCACGTGCCTCAACTATCAAGACCATCACGACGGAAAGTTCAGGCATTCCATCTTCATCAGCTCTATCTTCATCTTTCGACCGAGAACGCGAACGTGGTCCCTTTCCTTTAGACTTCGGAACTCCCACATTTAAGGAAAGAGGAACACAGGTACCGCCACAACCACCAAGCCCCACAGCCCTTAGAGGTACGGCAAAAGTAGTTACCATTCCGAGGAGTAATTCATTTTCACGTTCGGGTTCGGATTTTGGTACCATACCTCAACCTTCTTCTACTTACTATCCTGCGAGGAAAAGCTCGCTTCAAAGAGGAGGATCGGAAGGATATAACTTTTCAAATCCTGCATCGACATATCAAAAATCTTCATACAATATACCTTCATCTTCATATCAAGCTGTGCAAACATCATTCCCTCCACCGCCAACTTCGATAATGTCTCAGGCGTCTCAATCAACAACATTTAGAAGTCCAATGGGGAGGACGGATGAGAGTGCGGCTGTTAGAGAGGCAGAAAGAAGAATCAGAGGATTACTTGGGAATAATGGGGGGATTGGTTCCGGTAGAGATGGGATTGTGAGTCCGATTAGTCCGGTTAGTCCTCTGTCGAGGTGAATGAAGGAGTAATTGTTGGAGGGTCATGATCTGTGTATAATGTCTGTTTGTATGTATGTGAGATGCATAAGTAGGGAAATGAATGGAATGAGATGAATGATAGGGTATGGATGGAGGGAATGGCGTTTGGCACTTAATGAATGTATTTGGTAATGACGAATGGAGGTTATTTGTGATGGAAACAGATCGGAAATGAAATCAAACAATGAGCTTGTTTAATGAATAGACATGTATATAGCTCACTTCTCTCATTAAACGTCATTCGTTTGAGCTGTGTGAAATTGGAAAAGAACTTCTGCTTTGAAATCTGAATATCTGATTGTCTCTATCATTTTGGCTTGACAATTGATGTAGAGCCTCAAAAATGACAGTGAATGCATGCTTATTAATCGTTATCCACAGTGTGATTAGGCTGATATGGGTTGAGAGGGATGGGCTTTTAGTGGTGTAGAGATAAGAATGAGAGTTAGATGAATTCGATCTTCCGTCGCGGAATCAATATACAGGTAGACAGCATAGCGAAAGTTTACTTGCTGTACTGTTGCTTTATAGAGATAATTAAGAGAAAAGACAACCCGAGGGCGACGATTCGATACACGTGTCTGTCTGGTGGACATTGACACCTTGTATGAATTTTCAAGGAAGATCTGCATGTTCGACTGCATTCGGAAAATGGAAGTGACGATATCGACCCCCTTCCTCATTGGACGATAGAGAAGTTCTCCAGTCAGAGTCTTGTTCGGGCTGCATGTCCGACGTACACACACGTCTAACATGTAAAAAGGTCTTCTACCCCGCATTCAATTTTTGGTTTTATTCATCTCATTGCAATCTTTAAAGACAAGTCTCCTGCTGCAATGTTCTGTGAAACTTGTACGGATTTTCTTCGAACAATAGCGGATGCTCTCGCGAAAGGTGAACCCGTATTCGGAGAAACTTGGGGATCATTCAAACACCATGCTACTTATAATGCCTTCAAGAGGGCGCTTGATAAAGGCTGTGCTCTATGCAAGAAAATTTGGGCACAGATAGATGACGAAGCTCTTAATATGGTTGATGATGAACTTGCAGCTTTCGGTTTGACATTCCGGTGGCATTTATACTTGCCATGGGGTGATCAATCAAATATAGCAATCTGGATTGCCCCTGCCCCTGACAATGCATTCCGACTGATTTGCAGTATTTTTCTTACAAAGATTGATCCTTCTAAAGGTATCCTATCTATTCCCAAGTTCATCACAGCCTGAAGTCTGTGTGCATGGTACCTACTGATAGTGGTTTCAGATCGACTATTGCTTCCTGGTTACCAAGAAACTACCAATACAGGCTCCGATGCTTGCTTTGTACTTGCTAATCATTGGCTAAAGACATGTATGAGTTCGCATCGAAGATGTGAACATCTTCGTCCTCCTTCGTTGAAAGAATGGACACCGAGTCGCTTGATTCGCATCAAAGGTATCAATGATTTAGTCTTATGTTTGCGAAAGATGGGGAATATCCCCATAGGAGTAGATTACGCCACATTATCTCACTGTTGGGGCAACATTCCAGAGACCCAGAGATTAGTCTTGACAAGTGAGAATATCAGTACATGGACACGAGGAATACTTGGCCTTGAATCCATGAAGACATTTGATCACGCAGTTATCATTTGTCAAAAGCTTGGGCTGGAATATATATGGATCGATTCTCTGTGCATTTTGCAAAACTGTCAGGATGATTGGCGCCAGGAGGCATCACTCATGAGCACGGTATATAAATATTCCAAGTGCACTATCACCGCCACAGCCGCAATCGATGACACTGCGGGATGCTTCTTTGATCGTGATCTGGACATCTGTCTGCCCACCAGAGTAGAATTTTCTCAGAATCAGATATACTTTCGTAGCGCTAGCAAACAATCAATACCCAACTCCAACCTTTTGCCAGAAGATTCTAGGCCTAAAGCTCTACAGGGTTATTATGACATTCAAGAAGAGTTTACCTGGACCAGGGACATCAGTAATGCCCCTGTAAACCAGCGCTCTTGGGTTGTTCAAGAGGTATGCACATTGCACTAGACGAACATGCTCACTTAATCTGTTATTCTAAAAAGATAATCTAGCGCCTTCTAAGTCCCCGAGTTCTCCATTTTTCAGACAGACAACTCATTTGGGAATGTGCAGAATTGCAAGCCTCTGAATCGTCACCATTTGGGACACCTATAGAGAAAGCAACAAATTTCAAAACCCTGAGCCCCCTTCAACATCAGGATCAATATCTCACTGATCTGGATCTTGAGGTAGAGACACCATCTCAAAAATACGAGCGCTTAACCCGTGGGTTTTTGATTTGGGACTCAGCTCTATCCGCTTATACACGAGGAAAATTAAGCAAAGGCTCCGACAAGCTCGTTGCAATTTCCGCCATAGCAAGGGAACTACAGCCCTTCATGAGATGTCGATATCTAGCTGGTCTTTGGGAAGTTGATCTTGTATTCCAGCTAGCGTGGCGTAGTGGCAATTCTGTCCTTCAATCAAGGGTATATCGAGCACCATCATGGTCTTGGGCTTCAATTGATGGGCGCGTTATCCTTACTTCTATGTATCTCTATTCGTCAAGTGATTACCTAGTAGAAATCCTGGAAGTGGTCATAGATCTTGTCGGCGAAGACGAATTTGGTCAAGTTCAAGGCGGTCATCTAAAACTTCTAGGAAAAACGATCGATCTTGAAGTCTTAGACGAAAACGAAAAGCCAGGGCCAGGGCCACGCAAAGTCCTCTTCAATGGCAAACCCAGAATTGCAATGATAACAGAGGATGATGTCAACATGAGAACTAAGACTTCAATAAACCAGTTGTACTGTTTGCCTATCCATCTACATTTCGATCGGAAGTGTTTATATCTCAAAGGCCTTATCCTCGAGTGCGTTGATGTCACCAGGAACGAATATCGCCGTGTGGGACTGTTGGAGTACTTTACACCTATTTCAGTCGAAATTGGGTACACCGGGAAAGTTTCCATAGAAGATCCATTTCTATCATCTCTTGGTGATATTGAACAGACAGGGGATGACTCACTGGTCTTCAAAAAAGAATCTGCAGGTTTGCGAGAGATTACGATCATATAGAACGTTTCCCCCACGGTAGATTGACTGGTAAAAATCCCATTGCCTTTGATTATTTGAAATGCAAGATTCGTTTGATTTGAAGAGTTGAAGTGGTAAAAGAGAACCCTGGAAATGTTTGGAGTATCAATGTATCTTGGAGTTAGCAATCTGATTTATCCGACTGCATTTGAATATTAAACAGTTCTGAATATCCAGGCGTCTTTAAAATGATTTTGAATATTGAAATAACTGTGAACACTCAAATGATCAAAATATCAAAGCCATTCAGATCCAAGATTCTACAGAACATCAGTGTACAACTGTACGTCAGATCCACATGGAAACAAAGAAGTTCAATAATGAATGAATTCACAGACACAACCTATAACCTTAAATTACCTCCTTCCCCCTCCTCCTCCTCCACCTCCACCTCCCACTCCCCCATCCTTCCCTTCACAGAATATCCCTCCGCCCCCTCGCCATACAGATACAAATTCCTTTCCAAATCTCTCCCCATTAAACAGGAGATCACAAACCTACGAACTCCTACCCTATCTCCGCAAACACCTCTAGCTATACTACTTCCCCTCCTACCTCCTCCCAACTCCCACTAAGGTTTTCTAATCCCTGGGTTTCTCCACCAGATCTGATCTCCCATCGTAACCCCCTCAGCCATAGCTTTCATCCCCTTTCTCTATCCCCCAAATCCCTCTTCAAATCTCCTCCAAACCACCCATTCTCCCGTACCTCCCACCCACTCACTCTCCAACCTCCAGCTCTCCTATACAAACTACCAAACTATCAAAATACAAAACCATTACGCCACAAAACCCCCAATCTCAACCCCAGACTCCAGATTCCACACTATCTGCAAACAATCCATCCCATCCCATCCATCCCATCCCATCCCATCAATTTTCTCCACATCAATCTTCTCCACACCTCCACACAAACTCAAGAATCAGGACTCAGCAGTAATAAACCATAAACCACAAATCATAAACCATAAATAAACTTCAAAAAAGAATAAAAGAAATAAAGCAAAAGACTCATTAACGAGCATGAAACATAAAGTAAAAGACACGAAGTATGAAAGCAGAAAGGTAAAGAATGCTCTTATAACACTACACTTGTATCTGCATCTAAAACAACAAGACAATTACCATTCTACAATACCGCAGGTAAGCACGATGACAGAATTTAAATTTGAAACACAAGGGGCGAGTACTACTCTAGTAACGTGGTGTATTTTCATCTAATACGTAGTTATAATCAATATCTTAACCACTACATGAGTACTAACGCGTCACATGTGGACATCGGATGAAACAAACTACTAGTATCTTCAGAAGATTGACGATTAATAGTATCATTAGGTAGGTATCTCTCTACGAGGTCATTACTTCATTACATACTTCTTCCCCATGTCTAGCTCTCCTCTGTTTATAACCATCAGTCCACTCCTTACTCATTAAAGCTACCCCTCTCCTCGCACAAGGAAGAAACAGTCTCCTACTGCTTTTCTCCAATCTCCTGTCTGATAGGAGACTCTTCAATATTATCCACTTTTCCCAAACCCATTTGATTGGTATCCCATCCCTTACTCTCCAGATACTCTCTGAAAGCTGCATCTTCCGTTGTGATAGTATCTTGGCCAATATGTGGTAAACAAAAGAGCGCTAAAGCTGCACTCAAGATACACCCCGAACTCGAGACGTAAAATGGATACTGCGCAGAAGCATTTCCACTGCCACCGGCTGCCTCGATATATGGGAAAACATAAGTACCAACAAAGGCACCAACTTTACCAATAGCGGCTGCAATAGCATAGTATTGTCCTCTAACACCTGTCGCCGAAGTTTTGGACGCGAGGAGTCCAATGTTGTCACCTGGACCGAGTTCACCGAGGGAAAGGAAGATTCCGTACACGACGACAAATGCGGGGACATTCTTGACTTGAGATAAAACTGGGTACAAGCCGGACATGATGAAGCCAACAATACCCTGCAATGTGACTCCTATGGCAAGAGCATAGCGAGGTCCGACCATATCGGAGAAGAAAGAACCGAGAACAGCGCCAGGAATATAGAAGAGATTGATAACGGTATTCCAACCGAAAGATTGAGATAGTGGCGCCGTATCTCCGTAAATGTTGCTGAGAATTTTGGAGGAGTAAATGCCAAACGAGTAGGTTGAGAACTATGGTTATGTGTTAGTGTAAACCAATTTTATGATTTGAATATTCACATACATCGTAGATGAACCAAATCAAGGAAACTATTAATAGCCTAAACCAATAGTACTTAATTACAAGACCATAGGGAATTTTGGCATTTTTCATGCTCTCTCTGTTTATGGATTAGCGAGTTCGAGGAACGTTCAACAGCCATGGCACATACCTTTGAAACTCTTCTGGCTCCTTCAATTTCAATCGAAGATAGAACAAAAGCAATGGTGGGATTACACCAAGTCCAAGTGAGATTCTCCAGGCAGCCCGCAAATGGTCTTCTGTACAAATGACAACCAATAAATATGGAACAAAAGCGCCGATGACAAAACCGAAATCAATCATAACGTTCGTGAAGATGATGAACCATCTGTTTCGGGTACCCTCTTTCAATTCTCCAGAAGCTTCGGAGCAACCGACAGATCCAGCCGGATACTCTCCTCCAATACCGACTCCGACCAGGAAACGATAAGCAGCAAGTGCAGCGAATAGACCCTGTACACTTCCGTGGTATCCATATGAGCCAGCGCCAAGAGCAGCGAAGACGATAAGAATTACCGTGGACAGCGTGAGTGTGTTTGCTCTGCCCCATTTATCACTGGTATAACCAAATATGAGCATACCCGCAACCGTACCAGCAAATGTGATTGCGGAAATGTTTTTCACGGCGGCAGATTTTGTGTATACGTCTCCGTAGATTACTCCGAGCATAGTAGATACTGATCCGATTACCTGTACGCACACATTAGTATGTTTATCATAGCCGAACTTGTGGCTGGAATTAGCATACGTTATTGATGTATCCATCAGAGAACAATCCCGAACCACAGGCCATAGCTGGCCAGAGTTTTTCCCATTTTGTCTTTGGGATATTGGCGAGAGGGTCTTCATGATTCTGCGGACTCGAATTGGAATCGATAGCAAGATCATTGGCATCAGCCGCAGATTTCTTGCTGCGATTAAACATTTTCCTCGAATGATGGTCGCACAAGAACCTCGACTTATATTTTCAACGGGGGATATTGAGGAAGACTGAAGACAAAGTTCTCAAAAACCGGGTAGACAAGGAGTCTTAAATGAACAGAACAATGTGCGAACTTTTGAGTGAAGGATCATGGATATCTACTAGTTAGCTAAACCGAACCCAGCTTTTACCGAAATGTCTGGGGGTCCTAGAATGGGACAGGGTAAGTAATAGGTAATACCGTCGAAATAAAGTTAAGCTTCGTGTGCTAGGGGTGATTAACTTTGAATCTAAAATATGCCTACCGTATTGGCATTTGCATACCTGCTTCGTAGCTGTCGAATAACATCATATTCATTCTTCCGTATTCACTTGCCCCTCAGTAGAAGCAAGTGTAGGGTAACATGCAGATTCTCCTGCAGCAAGCATCTTTTTAGTTGCAGTGAATCCATTCAGATACACTAGCAACAGCAATGCATTTGTCAGACTGCGATACAAGGCTTGCCACTCCATTGAGGTTGAACCTGATGATCCCTTCCAATTTCTCTGATTGCATAGGATTCTAGAGTTCTGCCACCCATCTGTCAAACACAAATCAAATCTGGCAGGTGCTCAGCTCAAGGCTCAAGCAACGCTTTCATCAACCCATCGTGTTGTTGCGATGCAACCAACAAGCAGGCCGTTGAGCTGCATGTGATGAGATTGATACCCACAATACAAATTCGAAGCCGCGATTTATTCACGCCGTATTTGATCTTTTATTTGATGGTGGCTCGAGAGATTGTGACGTTGTGAGCTGGACGAGGAATCAAGCGTCGATACTAGAAACTTCCATCCAATAATCAGTATTTATTTATCCGGTGGTGGGGAAGTGGAGTTTGGATGGAGCACAATGTTCAAAAATGGTTTGAGACATTTCCCCCACCCCTCCATACTTTTTCAAATGGGAAAGTACGGCCGAGGTCTTTGCGATAACATGCATTGTGACTGATAGTCGCAGATAGTCACAGACAATCATAGATGATAACCACGGTAATCTTGGACTTCCATTGATAGATACACACACCAATTTGCAACACACTCGTCATCAACAAACGAGTATATCAACGACTCGACCAGATCATCGTGCCTTCACTTCGTCATGAGTATGTTTTTCCATTACTACCTCGAATATTACCCACAACCTACGTTACAACTTACGTCCGCCAACTTGGCACGTTTTCAAAAAGTTTAAAAGCCGCCGCCATACCGACGGGAAACACATTCTTGTGAGATAATCAAGCTTTTCGCTGTGGAGCTCTCAGCTCAGTCAGCACCGAGATCCAATCATGAAGAGATGATGAAGCACGCCCATTTCCGATGATCAGCAACGCCTATCGGGAAAAATACCCACAGAGCCACACCACATCGGTTTGCCCGATTCTGAAAATGGGGCACACTAAAAACTTCAAAGTCCACCGGTCAACAATCGGATGAATCAAAATGGGTTGAGAAATGCTTGCGAGTTCACTCAACTAACCTGATCCAAGGAGGATCATCCCTAAGTCCGATTTCCTCTATCCACTACTGCTTCCACTACTCGAACATTTGCATGTGCAATATACAGGTTCCTGGATTGGCTACCAACGGCGAAGTCTACCATTTTTCTAATATTTCTCAGAATTGGCAATTTCTGGAGACGTGTTAGCAGATCAAGGATCTCGATTTAGATCTAGTTCCATCCAAACTGTCGGGCAAGAGCTATTATCTTGGCACAGGACCGATATCCGAAGGTCAAAGTTTCGATTGTTATCTCTCACGGCTATCGTAGGATTTGGCCAGTTCCATTGC